ACTTTAATTAGTAAAGTCTGAAAATATCCATTGCAAAGGTACAGAGAAGCTAGGTTACGACGGTGGGAAAGTGACTGATTCTTCTTTGGATTCTATCTAGAATCTCTAAATACAAAGCAGAAGTGACAGACTAGATGTGACAGTAATATTCAGTGCATAGCTGAATGGCAGACTTATACACCCTTGTGCAAATTAATTGAAATCGAACGAATAATTCCGTTATTATTTACTTTTTTGTTATTTTCCAATGAAACATGACCCAATGCACATGTTAATACTTCGTATGTCCGTTCCACGAAGTCGTTCCTTGCAGATTGATCACAGATTCTCGATTGGATTTAAATCAGGAGAGTTTCCGGGCCAGTCTATAGTACTTTGATTTGCTCACCGGTAATTTGTGTCGTTATTAATCACACTATATTATTCACTACTTTCCTTTACCCTGCATTGTTTTTCAAGTTTACTTAATTTCAGTCATCGTCATTTTCTGTTTCCATAGCAGGATATGACAACACAACTGCAAAATTCAAACACGCTGTCATTCATTCATCTAAGTTACTTGCAGTGGCAGGCTAAAAAGTTCGCCTCGCAGGCAAAATTACCTCCAGAATGTTAAAAGCTAATGTCAGCCAAGTGGGAGTACAGAATGATAAACAATTAAGCAAATACTTTTTTTTGATAGAAGCAGTTGCTTCGTCAGATTCTCTTGGATTACTTCGACGTCTTGAAATCTTGTTCCTCTTAAGTGGGATTTGATATTTGAGTATCGCAAAAGTTAATATCTTGGGAATATGATGGTTATCGAGCCTAGGTAATATTGTCCTTGGCAAGAAATTTCTGCATAAGCCATGGACACTTATGGAAACTCTATGATGCTGCGAGACGACCACACTCTACACACTTTCCTTCCAAGCACTGCTATAAAGAATAGAAATGGGCGGAAACGTTATACCTTACTGTTTAAGGTAATTTCTGCCAAGTGTCTTCGTTGCAATATATACTCTAAGTAGAACTGGTAACTGCTCTTGAAAAACGACCTCCAATCATTGGTTCACTGGGGGCAAGGAATGGCTTGTCAATTTTAACGCCTCCAAAAGAACTCTTTTCTTTTAATCACCACAGAGAACGTTTATTGTCTGCTGAATGCTGATACTAAACTCCAGGAGAACAACACTTTGCTATCACAATTTTTACTGAAAGAAAGTGGAGTGATTGTATTAAGTGAATTGCTAGGTTTACTACTAGAAAGGTTGGTTCACAGTGTTGACCCAGAGAGTACACATTTATAAATCTATCATCATACATTGAATATTGCTGCCATATCTGGTCAAAAAATTCAAAGACGGGTCTGCAATGTAATCGATCCTGACCTGCCATCTCAGCTTTACTCATCGCTTCTTCCCGACGTGACGCGACTTCACACTATCTTTTCTATAAATATTTTCATAGCAATTATTCTGATCTATTCTCCTTAGTGCCTCGACTGCACGAATTTAAGAGTGCTACTAGATTGGCAATTAGGTCTCTCACTCTTATTGCTGAACTAGATAGATGCAGCCGTCATTTCTATTCCGATAATTTCTTAACGTTTACTCTTCGCCTGTGGTACCCCAGATTTCTAGCACACCCCCACCTCCGCCACCTATAATCTTTTTGTAAAAATAAAGTTTAAATTCAACGTCACTCATCTTCTATCTTCCTAAATCACGTTCCTTTATTGTCGTTTTTCCCACTAAAGTCGTCGCATGCTCTTTCACTTTCTGTAACCCCCTGCGTCATTGTGCCATTGTCGCCTTGCGTGGGGTGAAATGGTTACAAATATAATCTCTCAATATCGATTTAGTATCTGTTCGAGAAATAAGAGAACAATTTTGATAGACTAGTTTATTGTATGAATAAGTGTAAACTACCTTCTCAACGCTGTTTTCGTTCAGACCAAATGTCTTTTATAGAAACGGTATTACGAAGCCGTCGGAACAAGATGTTATAGATAATTATATCGTCTACGAAGACGGACTGAAAATTTTATAGGCTGACAATCAAAGTGTGATCTTAGAACAGTGAAATCTTGCAGCCATTAATATCAATTCGTCCATTATCTTGTGGTGAGCAGGAACAGGATAAATGTTCCCTTCGGTGTTAGAAGTTGCATATCTCCAGACCTGGAATCCTCTTCAAAACTTACCTTTCCCCATCTAAATTCAGCTGCCCCTTGTACTGTCCGTAACACTGGAACGTCATCCCCCAATGTGGCATCTATGTTCACATAAAAGTCCTTAGAGGCTAAGTCCTTTTTCTGTAGGCACGTGATAACACCACAAAAATTTTTTTTTTTTTGATTTTCAAGAAAAGTCGCTACGAGTTACATTTGAGGTTTTCATTGAATAGTCAGATATCAGGTTTATCTGGAAAGAAACAATGCAATTTATCGTAACTGGGAACTAAGGAAACGAAAGCTCTGTTTCAGTTAAATTTCTATTTCTGACCCGAACTCAATCCA